CTCCCATAAATATTTGGTCTTTGTTTTGATTAAAGCTGTAAGCGTCTGTTTGTGTGTTTGTAAGTGAACCAGAAAGAACGACATGTTTTGGAGGCAGAAAGCTGTAATCTCCGTGCACGTCAGCGCCGGTTCGATCGCGTCTCTGCTCGTTTGGTTGTGTATGTTTGTGGGAGAACAAATTGGCAGTGTGTGAGCGCACAAAAGAAAGAAGCGACGTTAAAAGGAGAAACACAATGAGTCCTTGTCATTTTCTCCAATAAACAGTAATCATGTTGTCTCCGCTCGGCTTCGATCAAACATCAAACACTTTGAACACTTCAAACTCTCCGGCTCTGACTGAAAAAGCCGACTTCTGTTTCTGTTCTGTTCAAAATTCAAGATTCTAGAAGATGGGACCAATCAGATGAAAGGTTGTTAAATTGCAGATTCAATGTAAGGATTGTATTTATTGGTCAGTATTAGGTACGTCACCAGGTCATGAACTTGGGATCAGGTCATTTGAATATGACACAGATGTTGGTCTACAGTATGTTGTGGGGACATGTCTACGATACTTTTAGCCTGGTCTCTGGAGTCTGAGGAAAGAAAGCTCAGTCTTTACATTGTTCACTGATCATTGAACACAAACAACAGTAACATGAAACATTTATAGACATACACACATGGACGGACTGTTCCAGAGGTGGATGGATGGATGGATGGATGGATGGATGGATGGATGGATGTGTATATTTTGTCAGACAGAATCGAACACATCTCTTGTCCCTCCATCTTGTTACCATAATAACCAATTAGCCCCGGCTCTTGGTCGCTAACATTCTTTTTTATTATTTATTTCCTCATTAAAATATTTCCTTTTGAAAGCACTCTCCACCGTGATTGGCAGCTCATGCTAACTACATCTCAGATACACACGTAAATTCACATGATTGGCACAAATGACACATGAATGAGGAAAAAAAAAAATCCAAAGTGCAGAGACGTAACTCACAGAAGAATCCGTCTGAAGGTTTAAATTGGATTCGACGTGAGGCAGAAACAACACTGACCTCTTTAATGGCCCCAACAAATTACTTTGGATAAAGACGACGCCAAGGTCACCGCACAGTTAAGGTAGTAATTAGTCTGTGGACAATTACCCAATTTTACCATTTGACTTTGAGTGTCTGCAGTCAGTCAGCTGATCACACCTGTCTCTGATCACAGGCTGACTACAGTCATGACTCACGGCTGACTGACCGGCTGAAACACACTCTCTCTGCCTCTACAGTTTTAGTACAAAAAAAGAAAACTGCTATGTATTTTATTTCTAATTACTGCACAAACACACACTCTCTGCCTCTACAGTTTTAGTACAGAAAAAAGAAAACTGGTATGTATTTTATTTCTAATTACTGCACAGATTACCTCATGTATTTATATATTGAATTCCAGCAAAAACTCCACCTCTGACCAACAACTGTTCCTACACTTTGTTGGTTTGTTTCTTCGTGCCGTATTGTATATACAGTGTGCAATGAAGTGTGTGTGGGGGCAGGAGGGTGTTGCGTATCTGTGTGTGTGTGTGTTTGTGTGTTTGTGTAAGCGTGTTTATATGTGCTTCAGAGGCTTCCCCAGAGTGGCTGCAAAAAATGAAAAAATGCTGGGAGGGGGAAAAAAGGAGATGAATCTTTGATGCTGATATAAAGTGTCATCTCCTCCCTCACTCCGTCTCTCTGTGTGTGTGTGTGTGTATGTGTGTGCCCTCCGTGTGGGTGTTTACAGTACGTGTGCACAGAGAACTTATGCAATTACAGTTTCTATTCTGCCCCGTGCGCCTGGCGGTAAACGCTGAGGGACATGGAGCCCCTAAGCTGACACCAGCAATTACTCTGCCCCCGTGTGTGTGTGTGTGTGTTCGATACCTTATCTGTAAACACACTCGTTCAAACTTCAAAGTACTGTCATATACACTCGACCCAAACGGTGGTGTAAAGGTTCAGGAGGTCAGGAACAAAAAGGATTTACATGATGAGGTGACTCGTGAGGGTGGAGCCCGTCTTTGCACGTCTGAGGAGGAGAGCCCAGCACAGATAAAGTCCCTCACCCTGGGACATTAATCTTCTCATTTGGGTTTCCTTCTTCTAAACTGCTGAAGTGATGGCGTCACTGTCTCTTTATGGTCTGCTGCTGCTACTGCAGCCATTGATTCTTGGTTGATTCAGGTTTTAAAAAGCTGTCTTTACTCTTCTTCTGGGTGGATTCACTCACTTGAAATGTATCATTTTCTCAGTCTCTCCAAAATGATAATCCTTCTGAGACCAGCTTTTAGCTCATTTTGTCAGTCACTCCAAAATGATAATCCTTCTGAGACCATCGTGCTGTGCAGCCACATGCACTGGGCTTTGTTTTTCCTTCTCCTTCCTTTTTTCTTTTGCTATTTTGCTTTTAGCATGTGCTGATAACATTTGTTTTTCTTAGAAATAAGACACCCAGGAATCCAGTCTCCATCTCGGCGATGTTGCCCTTGCGTTGTCCTTCTCATGCACAAAGGCATCCATTAACTGCTGCCAATGCCCAAATAAATTGTTCTTTCCTGCCTCTGTTTGTCTCCCCTCCTCATCTGACCTGTACTCCTCATTTCCATTGGTCAGTTTCATTTTGCAGTGTTTTATTGACCCCTCTCTCTCTCTCTCTCTCTCTTTCTCTCTTTCTCTCCCTTTCTTTCAGCCATTGGGGTCCAGATGACACTCGATGTGTTTGAGTCCAGATTCTGGGCCCTAACCGTACAGGTAAATTCATATGCAATACAAACTGGTTTTAATACAGTTTATTCAACATGTCATGTGATACTCCCTGTGTCAACACACAGCCATTTGTTCAGATTTGATTGTTTTGGTTTCTGCATGTCTCTAAGGCACAGTTGTGTCTTTCGTTGCATTTTTTACATTGGATGGAAAATAACTTGTCGTCAAAGCCTCAGGTATAAATCGCTTATGTTAAAATCCTGATAGTAAGTTGAGACACGTTCTCCTCCGACACACCTTTCTACCTCCGTGGTCACAGTTTATACCATTTTTCAGAAGTCAAGTAAAAAAAAAAAAAAAAAAAAACAACCTTCTTGAATAAATATGAGTTGACATTTAGCTAAAGTTCGGTTCATTTGCATTTGGTAATATTATTTTAACAGTGACATTTAGCTGTTGGTTTTGTCTGTGTTTTGAAAATGAGTCGTGAGTCTCACACACCACTGGAGGGTGTTTAGAACCACAACACTGCTTCACAGAAAAAACAGGGTTTTGTGATATTCAGGAATCACAGTTAGCTTGTGATTAATCTGATTAAAAATGAAAGTATTAATATAAATTAATGTATTATGAATTAACATTAATAATGTTAATAATTTAATATTAATTTAAGCATGTTTAAAGGAAAAAGCAGAGGCTTTTGTTCCTTTTTGTAACATGGGTTTTGTTGTTAACAATCAGGAAAATAATTTATAAAAAAATTATATAAATATATTATAATATAATTTTTTTAAACGTGTTGCTGTGAATAGAGCCTTAAACATAATTTTAGATGTTAAATAATAAATAAATCTTGACTGTTTCTTCCATGGATATTTTATGTTCCGAGAATTCCGCCGCTGACAGCGGCTCGTACGTTGTCCTCTGTGCTCCTCTACATCTAAAAGAGAATATTTGCTCAATTTGGCGTAACACCTTTGCTGCTGCAGTTGATTGATATCTTGGCCGTTCCCCTCCTGTGCCCACGTGGCTGTAAATGACAGCAGTTAAAAGAGCATTAAGGCTACCGGCTAGCCGGTAAATGATGAATAGCCCTAGCGGCCCGGCTCCCAAATGTGTTTGCGTATATTTATGTGTGCTCACGGAGGTGTGAAAAATAGACTGCTATATATTGAAAGTGTGTATGTGTCTGTTAGACATCCGTCACTTTGACGGGAACCATATGCATGACCATCTGTGGTTTTTTTTTTCCACATTCATCAACTAAGGACTCATTAGCAGCATCTGCAATAGTTAGCCACAAGATTTATGTATGCATGAGTGGAAGGGAGTCTCTTACATTCATTTACTCTCTGTGCGTTTTAAAATCTTAAATGTCCTAAATTCAATTTACTCCCTTTTAGCTCTTTAGTATATGATTTGTTGTTGTTTTTTGTTCCATCTCCATAATTTTTATCTACTCTCCTAATATCCTGTCTTTCACCCGTTCCTCTCCTGAGAGTATCTTACATAACCAGACAATCTCCCCGTCAGGTATCTTTATTTCATGAGGTTTTGTGTGTATGGACTATCACTACGTATTTGCCTGTGCAGTTTTACTGTAGTATACCTGTGTTTTGTAAGGTTTATTTCATTGAAAAGTATGATATACATATACACAAGCAGCAAGGCATGTATCAGTGCAGAATAAAAAATCCAGAAGCATAAAAAAGTGAAGGTATCTCCAGAAATTAAGTGCAAAAAGATTCTGATTCCAGGAGAAAGGTCACGACCTTCTGTGGTGATTTTGCTTTTATTTTTTTCGTAGGTGTAGAAAATTTGTATATATGAATAAATTAGGTCTGACTTTGGCTCTGGGAAACACGCCGGTGACCTCAGCAAACTCGGTTGGTACAAGTCGCATAAATCATGTCTGACGTTAAGGCAGAGGAATAATGTTACTTTAAAATAAGATGTTATTAGTGTATGAATTATGAATTAGTCTGGGCCTCCGTCTGGAGAGAGTCAGTCAGAATTCTAATAGGACTTGTTCTGATTTATTCAACTAATGGTTTTAGTCAAATCCAAAATTTAAAACAAAAGAACCAGGGAGACGCATACATTTCAATTAGTGTAGCTGTAATGAGACAGTGAGGAAAATAGATTTCTTTAAAGGACTAATCCTCTTATCTTTATCCCCCTGACTTGACTCTTAACTGCTCTTACTTTTGCAACTTTTACAATGCAAGGTGTTTTCCATTCCTTACACGTATTAAAGTTGAGTACAAAAACTATTTCATCTAGTTTCAGTTTAATGCAAAATGTTTTGTTTTTTTACTTTTTGCTCTTTGGCTTTGTAAAGAGAGATAATCAGCTACAGGGAGAAACCCTTCCATCGACTGCCTGGGTTTGTGGCTGTAATTAAAGCTGTAGTCATCACATTGACTCTTCCTTATCCTGAAGCTCCCAGATATTCACATTTACTACAAGAGGTACTCAGGGAGCAGCTTCACTGTGCTGCTGTGATTTTATAATGAAATAAAAGATGTGATAAAACACAGAGTCCACTGGTGTTGGATTACTGTGAGGTCAGTTTGGGTTTCAATTTATTGGCCAGTTATGGTTACTATAATAATGGAAGTTCATCATTTAACTGTGCTGTATTTTTCACTGTTACTGTTGTTCACTTATTCAGACAGTGCAAAATGTTTCTTATTGATAAATCACTTTGCATTTAATGCTTTTTCTCTGGATAACATTTTCCCTAATGTATTTGATTTATAGTCACATGGTTTAATGCAGCTGATATTAGTGACTCGACATCAGACTGAGTTGTTTGTTCTTTGTGCATTGATCATTAGTTCTTTTCAGGAAGCAATGATGGAAAGATGGAAAAAGCACCCGACTCCTGACAGGGTTAAAAAGAATGAGAGATGGCTTCATTCATTCTTGGATGTGCTCTATATAGACATATTGCCCATACTGACCTTAATCCACACAAACAGGTGCTGGGGATATAACATATGACCATGGAGTGAAGAGGGATATTATTGACTCATGACCGGTCCACTGATGGAGGGGCTGAACCGTGCTGAAGAGATACTTATAGCCCATAAAACACAACTCTCCTTTGGTTTTTCCTCTTAAAAATGTTAGCCATGTTAGCCTTGCTGTACACAAGTGACAACTGACGCCACTTCTTACCTGTTCCAGGTTATTGTCTTTAGGGATGTCCGATTAAAACTTTTTGCCAATCTCCGTATATATGGTAATATTTATTTGTTTATTTTATCTGTACAAACCATTGTATGAGTATATATATGGTAATATTTATTTGTTTATATTATCTGTACGAGTATGAGATTAATTAAATTAGCTGCAATGCTGCCATCTAGTGACTTTTGCTTTAATGTACAGCCGTTTTTCCCCAAAACAATCTTTGGGGCACACATTATTTGGCGAAACCCAGGCATTGCGTTATCGGGTTATTATGATCGAAGAAAAAGCCCATAACGATTCTTACATATATTACATAATATGCTAATATCGGGCCTAGAATATCGGCCGTACGATTTTATCGAACATCTCTAATCGTCTTTCTTCTTCTTTTTGTATCTTCTCAGCCAAACGACACAGACGTAAGTATTCACATTTCTCTTTCTTCTGAGACCAATGCTTTACTTTTTTTTGTGCAGAGTTTAAATTAAATTTCAACTCGTTCGGCACCTACCTCACTGTGTGAATCCAGCTTTCCGCCGCAGCCCCACACATAACCCACTCACATTCACACAGCCGCACACATGCGTGAAAAATAACACGCAAAAACACATGCGTCTCAGGTAGATGCAGCGAATCGTGCCGCAAATCAACGCCTTCTCACCAACACAGTTGTTGACGCTGACACATGTTCAGACCTAACACCCTCACGGTCGTACTCAAAGTGACTCAGACAAAAGTGTGTGTGAGGATCATTTCCTCACCCACACACACACACACACACACACAAACAGCCTGCTGTACAAAACAGCAGCTATAACAACAAGCATCACAAGACTTCCTTTCTACTTCCTGTTTCCCTACGCAGTGCTCTGACGTTGAAGGGATTTGTCCTCTTCGCTGTGACAGCCCTGTGAGTATCACACCTGTAACTTATGAAAATTAAAAACTGTTCTATTTTTATGCAAGTTCTTGCAACAAAAACCCCCAGATAGTTCAACAATTTGAAGTAAAGATTTCGATCATTGCCGTTGGATACCGTGGACATGAGTTAGCAGTGCTGTCTGACCACAGATTATTTATAAATAATGGTGTTTACCTGCGGCAGTCTGGACCAAGTTGAAATCAGAGAATCGCAGGTTCAAATCCCCTCCATGTCCGCTGTGTGTTGAGCAAGCACCAAAAATATCCATTGCTCCTCGAACGCTCCTGAAAACTCCAAATGTTTGATAGATATTTTTCTAAATAGTAAATAATAATTATTTAATTAATAATAGTCAGGAGGAGGATGCTTTCTCTGGGATTATTGTCAATATGTTTGTTTCACTGTGTGTTTTGTGTCTAAAAATATCCTTCACAGACACAAACATACTGTGTTGTCATTTTCCTGCTTCTTTTCTCATCCCAGGATATCGAGTGCTACGTGATTGACAATAATGGCTTTGTCCTCATTTCTAAACAGCCTAATGACGTGAGTTCACACACACACACACACACACAGACCTGATGGTTTGAGAGGTCAAAAAGACTCAAACACTTTGAATAACGATCTCCCTGCACGTGTGTGATCACTGACGCAGACTCCATGTGAAACCAAGCGTTCCCTTCCAACCATGTTACATCATGGATGAATATTTAATCAAAGTCTTCACACTGGCGTGAAGGCAGGAGGGGCGGTACACTAACGAGGGGGCAGTTTATCATGACAGGGGGGTTAATAGAGTCTTCCTCATGCTTGGCTTCCCTTCCCTTTTATCCTGTCTCCTCCTGTGTTTGCTCCTGATAGGCCGGAAGGTTCTTCGGTGAGATTGATGGATCAGTGATGACAACGCTCATTAGAATGGGCATGTTTAAAAGGTAAGATCCTGACATCATCACACGGGCGACTCTTAAGACACGCCCTCTTACGGTATCTTATTCTTAAAGTACCGAACTCATCCACTGTAAAGCAAAAAGTTGTCTTAACCTGCAGGTCAGCTTGTAAATCTCTCCCAGTTTGTTCGAGGTTCTTGTAAATCTCAGCCTCACATTATTATGCGTGGAAGGGACAGCCTGGAGCTTGTTTCTTTACTGACAGCCAGACTTACGAGCTTTGATTTTCTGTTACACTGTTATATGCCCTGGTGTTTTCTCTCTCTCTCTCTCTCTCTCTGTCTCTCTCTCTCTCGGTGCTGAGGACTTTTAATTCACCCATCACTGTGTTTGGGGAAGGGGAAAAAAATGGTTTTGTTTTTGTTTTTTCTCTCTCTCTCAGAGCTTCCTTGTCTGCTGTTGATGTGCTTTCCGTTTCTTCTCTTTCATGTTTTGAAATCACAAGTGAGGGGCTATTTTTGAAACGGCTAAGAGATGTCGTCATGGTTCATTTGACACAGAATGTTACATAAGTGGTTTTGAGCCTGCATGTACTTCAGTGTTCGTCTGTGTCTGTGTTTGTATGTGTGTGTGTGTGTGTGTGTGTGTGTGTGTGTGTGTGTTTCCTCAGGGTGTCCTTGTTCGACTACCAGGCCATGTGTAAGATGAACTCGCACTCGGTCAGCAGCGCTCGTCCACTTCTCAGTGTACGTCAGTGTCATTGTGTGTGTCATTATCATAACGATCCTGGGTTTTTTTTTTTTTCAACTGTGTGTGTCATTATCATAACAATCCTGGGTTTTTTTTTCTGTGCTGATTATCATTTGAATTTTTCCTCAGCCGTTCTATGGTTTGGCTTCAGCTCTTCAATGGTTCCTCTCCAACTTCCTGCTGTAAGTGTGGCTTGATTGATTATTATGGTTTACGTTGTTATTTTTATATAACAGTAATGGAAAGTTTGACCGGTGGCGCGTGTCATTTAAAGATGCCCCCCAGTCGCCCCAGCTGCCTCTGGAACACATTTCTTGCCATAAACGTAATATCACCTAATTCACCCAGTGTCATTATTACAAAGAATGAATTTTTATCCAGGTAAAACAAACAATCTAATGACTGCTGAGTCACTCGGCGAACCATTTTAATATTCCCATCGACATCACTCCCTGGCACAGTTTGTAGAAGAAGCTGCAATCAGCTCTCAATCTGCTCTCCTCTTTAATGAAGGCTCTGTAATCGACTGTCTGCTCTCCTGTTTCGCTCTCAAGGTTTCTTCTGGAGTTCAACGTCTGTGGCTTGTGGCACACGGAGCCTTTTGCTGATGGTGAGGAATAATGAGGGGGAAAAAAAAGATTGTGAGAAATCTCCATGTGGCACTGGTTTGTTTTTGTACATCCATGAGCCAAAGCTAAATGTTGGTGTCTTTGAAACCAGCACTTTTCTTAAACTGTTAACTGTTTGGAAGATCTGCAGCCTCTCTCACTTCTCATCTCTGATTCCCATCAATCTGCCATTCCCCTGACTCATTACCACACCTGTCAATCATCTTCATCATCATCTCCATCATCATTTCGTCTCCCATCAGCAAAGCCGTCTTTCAGTGTGTGTGAGTATCTCAAATTAAAGGAGGACACTCGTTTGAATTCAATAACTGACTGTGTATTATCAGAATTGTACTGTAATTATATTTGTATTTTTCTACACATCACCACTCATGGGAACCTCCCACGACATTTCAGTTTTATGTTCTCGTTTCATCTGTCTGCAGCCACATTCTTCATCTGTACCTGGAGTAAACAGAAAGCTAGAGCTGTAATGATCATTTAATAACCACCCTGGTTCTGCCGTCAGCCTGTCAGTCACACAAACACAATCGCACGCACACACTAACCCTGAGACATTAACCGTCTCCATCTCTCCATTAGCCTCGGCTCATAAGAAAAAAGGCGACATCCTGCAGCCGTGCGACACCGAGTACCCCAGCTTTGTTCATGATCCCTCAGTCAAGGAGACGAACAGCATTATTAAGTGTGGACGCTGCCAGAAGTGAGCACGCACACACACACACACACACACACACACTAATCATATCTAGGCTCCCCCAGCAGTCACATTACATTTTCTCATGAAATTACATTTTCTACAGCTCTGCTCCGCTCTGCATACAGAGAGCAGTGTCTGCTTATGCAAAGGGCATCAACAAGGAGGAGAGGAAATGAGTAGAGGAGAAGGAAATGGGATGAGGGGTGCATGAGGTTGCAGTATAACAAAGAAGCACATGGAGGAACAGAGACCGTGACAACGGAAATAGTATTCTGGGATGTAAACAGCAGAAGAACAGAGTTAGGAGCAGGGAACAGAGGAATATCACAGTCACAGCATGTTTCTTCACATGTCTGGAAACACTGCGGCTCCTCTTTTGTTTGTCTGTCACTTCCTTCAGGTTTGAGATCAAAGGATTGAGTGTGAACGCCCTCGTGAGGCCAAATACGGCCTAACACATGAAAGCCACTGTGTTTAAGCCCTCTACTGGAGGTGTAATTAAAAGTGCTTATAATTAGTGTAGCTACCAATGACTGAAGTGATGTACTTATTCGTTTATTGCACCACAGCACTGTGGATGCAGAGAGGAAGTAGCTAATACTTTAAAGAATCCTGATGACCAAGTTTTTAATAAACAGTATTCACGTATGATTTGTGTGAAATCTAAAAAATAAATAAATAGATAAAATGTCCTTTAGCGTTTGTGTCTGTGTGCACATTTATAGTAATGACTTCATGTTGGTGTTGTTGTAGGATGTTTGTGGTGCAGCAGATACCAGACAGCAACCTCCTGATGCTGGTGGTTCAGGCCAACTGTGACTGTTCCAGACAGTACTCACCAATCACCTTGGAGCCCAAGGAAGTCAAATATATCCTTACATTCTGTGTTTTTAATTAATGTATTTGTCATTTGCTGAGTTTGCGTGTTTAGCTTGAGCAAAAACAACTCCCGGGGACAAGCAGCTCTTTCAGAATTAATAAAGTGGTTGGTGTGATTTATTTTTCCCCCAGCATAATTCAAGTGCACGTGGTAAGTGCTCAGCAGAAGTCAAGATTACTTGACTGAAACGTGTATACCTAGTACACTACTTTAGTAGTATTTAAATAAAAACGCAGGAAATACATCACTTCCTGTTGCCCCCTTGACCTCCAGTGTACATAATGCATCGATAAAATGCGATAGAATGAAGTCCCAGAAGATTCGCAAGCGGCCTGAGTCTTGCCACGCCTACCACCCACAGGTCAGCTTCTGATTGGTCATCACACTGGCATTTTGTGGGGGTTTTCTATATTTTCAACAACTAGAACTAGATCAGATTGGACTGATGAGAAACTCACAAGTGAATCACTTCCTGTTCCCCTCTGTGTAGGAGAACGCCAATGACTGCGGAGGAGCATCCTTCATATCCCCTTCAGCCTCCCTCTTCTTCATCTGTCTCATCTTCGCTGCAATTTCCTCTTGATGATGGGCAGCTTTATCTAGAAACACGTAAAAGAGACAACTGAAATAAATCAAGGTATTTGTTTGGACGACAGGCACCTTAAGCAGATCTTTTGAAATCTGCACCTTCCACTGGACAAGATATCCATGACAACCACAAGCCAGTCCTCTCCTGGTGGACTTTAGACTTGGTTTATCAGCAATGGTTCCTGAACATCCTGACCCTGACTCTGCAAAGCAGACATATAATGGATTTGTATCTAAGTTTTCACAAGGCAATTTGCATCTCCAATTAAAAAGGGGCAAAAGGTGATCTTGATGATTGTTATGAGGTCACAGCAGCGGCCTAACAAAATCCACAGAGGAAATAATGCTGTGGTTATGTGTTATAACCACAGATGTGTTAATGATGCGTTGGCTGACTGCGCACTCATCTCCAGAACACTTACTGTACATCAGTTTATATGTTACATTCACAAATTTACTTACGGGTTTTAAAAAGTCAAACAATGACCTCTCAAACAAGGGCTGAATGTGATGGAAGCCATGGTTTACATGTTTGTTTACAGCATCTTTGGATTACCGCCTCTGGACAGTGTAACAGCTCAGCGTGTAAATGTGCTCACATTGTTGATATTGTTGATGGACAGTAAAGGACAGTAAAGGTGGGAATTGTCAGTTGCTCTGGGATACATTGTTCAATTCACTGGTTCACAAACGTCCTGCAGTGCCCCATGTGGACACATTCATAGCTATTGCTTGGAACTCCACTGAACGAGATGGCACTTGTAACTAGACAAAAGAAAAGAAAAATCTAATTGTGTATCTCGCTCAGAGTGGAACAGATAAACTGCCATAATGCTAAATGTCTGTCTGCCTTTTTATCTTCATCATCAGTGTCTTTTGCTGTGTTTACTCGTACTGTTTGTGATATCTGTCTGTGTGTGTGGACTGGTGTAAAGTCGACTGTGTAAACATCAAAGGAACAGCGTTCTAAACGCTTTTAGATTATGTCTCATTGTCACTTGTCCATGGATTATGAGCTGTAAACCTTCCCAAGTGGCTATGTATTGATTTATTTATATATTGTCAAAAGTTGAAGCCTTTCTGTTAAGGCAGTATCAATAATCTGAGTTGTGAGTAACAACCTCACTTTATATTTAATTAAAAAAAACTTCTCCCGTATTTCTTAGTTTTTCACATAACTTGTCATTTAACAGAGGTTATCTTTTGTTTCTACTGTTCCTGTGGACAAACTGTCCCAGATTATGTTAAAGAAATAGACTAAAATAAAAATAAAAATAAATACATTTAACGACAGCCTTGTTTCAGTCCTGTTAATTAAACCATATAATTTATTGTTTAATGATTTAATGATTATTTATGCTTGAGCCCACACGAGTACGTACTTATTTTTACTCGGGGGTCTGCAATGAGTGCCTAAGACCGATAGATGGCGTTTGATCTGCCGTGTTTTATTGTTTGTAACAGCTCCACAGCACGGTAAGAGGAGCGTGAGGGAGAGAGACGGGTTAGAGGAAATGGCGGACGGTGTGGATCACATTGATATCTACGCGGACGTGGAGGAGGAATTTAACCAGGTATTTGGGCTACATTTACTATACTGTGGACCTTTAGTTATTTGTGCACCCACGGTTTTACAGCAACGGCCAACGAATTGTGTGTTTTGATGGTCGAACGACCCTCTGTCACGTTAGGCCTCCATCTTTCGTTTTGCAGATTCACAGCCTCGGCTAACAATGTGGATTTAAACGTTTTACTTGCGATTTACAATTAAAACTATCTCTACGCGTGTGGTTGTGGGCATGTTTTGTGTTAAGCTTTACTTTCGTTAAGAGTATATTAAAATGATCGTTTTTAGTGTTTGTTACTTTCAGGCCTAATAATGGCCGCTTATGGCGGGTTAGAAATAAACATCGCTGAGCGAACGCAGATGTTAGCTCAGTGTTAGCCAAGGGTCACTGGTCATGTTTAAATATCATATAAATAATTATCAAAGCAATGCATATAGAAATTACACCAAATAAGAAAAGCATAATTTGCGTTAATAGCATCAAGTGCATTGTTTGGAATCGTGTTTTACGCAGATTTAAAAGGTTAGTTATTAGCATCTTGTAACGTTGAAACGTTTGCTCTTTCCTTCCCATACACGCCCCTCTGTAAAAACTGTCTATTTTCTTGTGCCCATAATATTGTAGTACCTGTATGTGGACATGCACGTGACAGTAATATGCATTGTATTTTTCTGAACTATATATTTGCTCAACCACTGTGTCTCCAAAGAGCCTGAATCGTATTCGCGGCCTTCACTTGTAGTCAGTTGCATCGAGAGCTAATCCGAACACACCCCACATGTTACGATGTGATAACGTTTGAGTTACAGGTTGATATCAAGTAATTTTGCGAGTGTGGTTCAACGAGCAGTGCATGAACATCTTTTTTGTGCCGTGTTACATACATCTCTGTGCAGATTAATATCACCACCATATTACTGGAATACTAATCAAGCAATGTGTTTTAAGCCTTAATATCAATATAATACTAATTGCTGTTGTGCAATCTCCCTAAAGGTTTTGTCAGCTTAGGAATAAAAACCGATAATACATACATTACGCATTTTTTACTCATTACCAGTTCTCTTGTCTTCGTTTCATTTGACCTTAACAATAATATTTTGACATCACTTATTTACACCACAGTCAGTCAGTATACATAAAGAAACTCAGTAACTAGCTGAGACACTTACACATTTTTATTATTTGTGGTGGAGTAACTCGTAGCTTATTATTGTGCATCTGCCACATTTTAAAGCAGTAGTGCCATTTATTAATTAGTGGTGGCTGTCAATGCTATTTGTAGAAGTCAGAAACTCTTATTCCTACTATGTGGAAATTGTCTAAACTGTTATTCTGATGCTTTACAGGAATCAGACTACCCTGTTCACGAGCAGATCGATTTGTATGATGATGTAATATCGCCATCAGCCAATAATGGTGATGCTCCAGAGGACCGTGATTACCTTGATGCATTGCCTGCACCAGGGAATTCAGAGGGAGGAAAGAGCGCCCCTCCCAATGTGGTGTATACCTACACAGGAAAGAGGATTGCCCTTTATATTGGAAACCTAACATGGGTGAGTAAACTGTGTGTATTAAAGTCATATGCTCATGTAAGTAGAGATGAATGAACCTACATGTCTAAAAAAAAAAGTTAATGGATCCAAATAAAAGGGTTGGCTCATCTGGGCACTGATGATGTCACAAACTCTTCTGCAGTGGACTACAGATGAAGACTTGACAGAAGCCATTCAGCTGATAGGGATTTCAGATGTGCTGGAAATCAAGTTTTTTGAAAACAGAGCAAATGGCCAGTCAAAAGGGTGAGATTTTTATCTTGTTTTTATATATGACAGACAAATGTTTTCTGTAGATATTTGGAACTGTTGTGTGTTTTTAGGTGTCATAGAGATCAAAGATAGCCAATGCAGTGTAAAGTTTAAAGAAAAACAAAGTTAATAAAAATCATTTGTTTTTAATTTTATTTTTAATTGGAATTGTTTTTCTGCATTTATCCCTCAGGTTTGCCCTGGTGTGTGTGGGCTCAGAGGCATCATCCAGAAAGCTGATGGACCTTCTGTCAAAGAGAGAACTCCATGGCCAAAACCCCATTGTCACGCCATGCAACAAACAGTCGCTCAGCCAGTTTGAGATGCAGTCGCGCAAGAGTATGTTTTATGTTTGATTAGAGTTATTTTGAGCCCTTTCAACCAGGGGGAAGGGGGAGTCGTTTTGATCAGTCAGACTTTTTTTGCTTCTCTTTCCATCTCTGCATTAAATAACCTCTAGACACTGAATCCCACTGACTTTTAGGTGGACGTTGTGCAGTCAAGATCCAAGTCGTAGTGTAGTAATTGCGATTACTTAAATACTATAATTCCACAGGTACTCAGTCTGGCCAAATGTCTGGAGAAGGTAAAGCTGGCCCCCCTGGCGCAGGCCTTCGTGGGGGTTTTTCCATGGGTGGTAGAGGCAGAGGTAGATTCCCTGGACCACCTACTCCTGGAGGAGATCGCTTCCCTGGTCCTGTCGGGCCTGGTGGCCCACCACCACATTTTCCTGGTTAGTTTGTAATGGTAATTCTTTAAGATGTTAGAAAATCAGCAGAATTGTTCTTTTAAAATACGTAAAGGATTTCCCCCACGTACTGCTGCAAGAGTATTCAGCTTCGTTTTAGGTGACGGTTACTGGTGACAATTGCCATGAAAATGTTACAAAAGACATGTCGAAGACGCGATCTGTACATGAATAAGATGCTCTGGTAGCGGAGATGAGGCTGTGCTTCCTAATCGCTCAGAAGATGCCTCGATTGCTCTATTGTACTTTATGTTTCAAGTGAGGAAAATAGTGCTCTGACTTTGCATGTGCCTCCTTCCCTGGTTTGTTACATTTTTTTCTTATTTTCGTTCATTTGAGTTCTTACAATAACCCCTTCTTTGGCTACAGCTTTGTGCACAGGAACTGTTTCCAGCGTCATTCTTTGACAAGCATAGCTTAACTTGGCATGCCAACAACCTCTAAGTTCTCACAAATCGGGAAATGGCCACCGTACACTTCTCGTTGTCAACAATAGACTCAGTCTTGGTCTTTCTCCCCTGACCCCCTGTTTTGCATCTTTGCCAGCAACCTGTCCCTCTCCACATCTCTTTTCATTAGTGGCTGGTTCTGACGGTGCTGAGTTTTGAAGGGCCTTTTTTTTTTTTTTTTGGTAGCCACAAACTGATAAAGGGAAGGAGTTGTGATTGGTTTGCTTTCTTCCCCATTAGGCGCGGGAATGGCACCAGATCTGATTAGGCACCAAGATGGCCTTCTGATGGATATCAATTTCAATCCCTTCCAGCCAGGGGGCAGGAACGGGAGCTGGCGTGGCAGAGGTGAAACACCTCGACTGATTTGATCGATTGCCCTTCATTAACCTCGTAATTGCTAAAACTTGTCAATAAAAACATCAAGTTGAATGACTCACAAGTCACAGCTGAGATTAGAACTATATAATTTTTATAAAGCTGTTTTGGTCAAGACTGTTATCCTTTTTCTATTTTAGCAATACGCTCACACCAAACCCGATTTTTAAAAAAAAATATTTTTTTTGAAGGGTTATATTGCAGTTATGTCGTTTATGCCTGTTTTTTGTACGTTTTTGGAAGTTTGGCTTGATTTCTTTTGTTTTGGGAGTTGGAACTTACAGCCTTAAGTCCCATCCTGAAGTGAGCTGTGATGTTGCTAACAATGTTTTGGTAATAGAACAATGTGCCAACATTGAATTAAACCAAAATTGAAATGTTTCGATACTCAATAATTGTTCGCTGCGTTAGATGTATGATCGACACATGTACAATCTAGCTTTTGGGGTTTAGTGTGAATTCATGGTTATGTTTAGTGTGAATTCAAAGTTTGCCATCTTTACTCTTAGTAAAGATGGCAAACTTTCTTGAGTTATCCAAAACTCAAGCAAATGTTGGAATGGGACATAGCATAACCGACATAATCCTTAATTTTTTTTAATTTTTTTTTTTTGCTTTCAATGTTTTCCCCTGTTTCTGTTTGATTTTCTTTCATTATCATTTGTTCCCCGAATGACTGTTCCTTGTGGCTATGGCTTGCACCCTGTTATTTGTCTTTGTTCATAGTTTGTTTAATGTTCAAGTTAACACTTAATATATGTTATACATTTAAGTGTATTATATTAATTTACATATGTGAAATGATGCATCTGGCTGTACCTGCTGCAGTGTGATCAGTTTGTGCCTAATTTCTTTTTATTAGGGGTCATGCAGGGTCCCCCTCGTCCTCCTCCTGGTCCACCCGGTCCCCCTGGCCCTCCGGGACCGCCACCACCTGGACAGGGCCTTCCCCCTCCTCTTGCTGGGCCTCCAAACCGTGGTGACAGGCCACCTCCTCCTGTTCTCTTCCCTGGTCAGTTTGGTCAGCCACCAATGGGGCCCTTGCCTCCAGGCCCACCTCCACCAGGTTATGGGCCCCCACCTGGTCCTCCACCCCCTCAACAAGGACCACCTCCTCCAGGACCTTTCCCTCCACGTCCCCCAGGCCCTATTGGCCCCCCCATGGCACTGGCACCACCTCCACACATGGGTGGACCACCACCTGGTGGACCACCACCAGCTCCTCATGTAAATCCTGCCTTTTTTCCTCCTCCTGGAAACAACAATATGCCTCCCAACGACAGCCGAGGCCCACCAGGCCCCAACGACCCATACGGACGCCCGCCACCATATGAGAGAGGCGACTATGGTCCTGGAGGCCGGTAAGTAGTGCTAAGGCATTTCTTTAATTAATGTATTGGTTTGTGGAGACATTTGTCAAGTTAGCATTAACAGTACAGACATTTGACAGTAAAACTTGAAAGCGTTTTACAATCTCTACTTGTTATTTTGTAGAGAGATGGATGCATCACGCACTCCCCTGAGTGAGGCAGAGTTTGAGGAGATCATGAACAGAAATAGAGCCATCTCCTCCAGTGCCATATCCAGAGCTGTGTCTGATGCCAGTGCAGGTATGCAAAATGAAACCGGCTAACATTGTGAATTCCAAAAAACCTGGAAATTAAATGAATACTAACTCAACGTTTTTTCTCTAGCTGATTATGGCAGTGCTATAGAGACTTTGGTGACAGCTATCAGTCTGATCAAGCAATCTAAAGTTTCCGCTGACGACCGGTGTAAGGTTCTCATCAGCTCCTTGCAGGACTGCCTCCATGGTATCGAATCAAAGAGTTATGGCTCTGCCTCACGGTAAGTGCAGTCCTCTATTCAATATTGTGGTTTTGGAATAAAGAACTGTTGTCAAATAGGTTGTTTACTACAAATCTCCATTTGATTTCTCTTATCTGTTTCTGTAGCTGTATTACAACAAATTCCTGATTGTGTCTTTTCTACTAGTTTTATCAAATTATTAAATATATTTGCCCAATGTTGGATATTTTTTATATCTCTAACAAAGGGAACAGTTACTAAGGGAGTGTGGCACAGCATATTATTTCAATACATGAAATGTTGTCAGTTCATTAAAAATCCAGACATGTCTCTTTGTCTAGAAGAGAGCGCTCAAGGGAACGTGACCATAGTCGCTCCAGAGAAAAGAGCAGACGCCACAAGTCTCGCAGCCGCGACAGGCATGAGGACTACTACCGTGAACGCAGCCGTGAGCGAGACCGTCATCGCGAAAGGGACCGTGACAGAGACAGAGAAAGAGAGAGGGAGAGAGAATACCGGCACCGCTAGACCTAAAGGTCAAGGTAGGCACATCTTTGGTTTCTTTCAGTACTTATTTATAGATATCGTAATACTGTTTACGCATTGGATCTGTTGAAGATACTGCGTTAAGTATATGAAGGAGGGGAATGATGATACACAGGTAGGTTTCAGGTAAGTACATTCGTTCAAATTTTATCAAGTGGTTAGTATAAAAATTATACCACAGTGAATGTTTGCTTTCCCATTGTGTCAACCTACTTATGAACTTGGCTCCAATAGGGTTTTACAAGTTACATGTTGATTACATCTATTGATTTAAATTTCTTTAAACTTTTTTTTTTTTTTAACCAAACATGGTTGAAACTGGTACTCCCCATAGTCTAACCTGTTACTCCTGGCCAACAGGCCTTATAAGCTGACAAAGTTCAACAACAGATCTGTTTTTTGTAAATGTCATTATACCAACACATGTTTTGGTAAAGTCTGAAACTATAATGTAAACCTTGTCAGGAAATGAAAATGTGTAATTGGCCCATTGAAAGTGTAACAATGTGGACTTGTTTACCAGCTGCTGTAAAAACTTGGTTTGGGTAAATTCAGACTGAGTGATAGTGCCTGCATAGATGAGTCATTGTGGTTTGAATGGTAGTGTCTGTTTGACCCTCTACAGATATCACTATTGCCCATTAATTTCACAATCCCTATCACAGGGTCAGAAACCTGCATTGTGTATGCATTTAATTGTATTTCTGAATAACTATATAGGGGAATGTCATGAGTGACGTATGTAATTGTAAATGCTGCTGAATGCAACACAAGTATTTAACATGGTTACACGTAGTTTTAAATGTTTTAATTTGTTTAATTTTTTCAATGTCAAATACACATCACTGTTTTAATTTATAGAGAAAAATTCTACATTTTTAATTCGAAAAAAAAATCACTTTAATGCATACACTTTTGATCTTCCCTATTTTTCCTGAATTTTTATAATGTATATGAAGAACTCTGTGCCTTAAATGACAACATATTGTGAGAGTATTTTTAATAATTACCTGGTATTGTATTTGACAGAAAAACGATTTATTAAATATATTTTTATTTACGTTATAAATTTATAATATATATATATATAATAGGGGATTCCAACTCAGACTGCTTAGGTATTTTTGCAATGGTTGAGAGGCTGCATATTTTTGCAATTGTGAGTATGAATGGCTTTTTTTGAAAGATTTGGATGAGCTCTCTGGCAATTTGTGAAAGTGAGTTGTACTGAATATGTTTGTGTGATGTCATTTTGACCCAGTTGTTCTTAGAAATATTTTTGGTTGGTGATTCTGATGGATTCTCAGTTGTAGGAGCTAATATCTGACAAAGCTGTGGATGTTTGCGGTGCTGTGTGAACAGTGATACTGAAGAATATTTATTAATGATGAGACCTTCAGCATCCCTGCATTGTTGTGCATCGCCCCAGCTAATCCTGTGATTTTTAACAGACCCTCGGTCTTGTTAGTTCTTTGTCTGTGGTCACAGATGATTGATGCCCTTTGTGCATTGGGAAATAATCACAATTGAACTGTGATTATATATAAATCTAACATACTTGAATCCTGTAAAACATTAACTGGGGTGGTTTTGCTTGCAGAGGTGCTGAACTTTGACAGCGCTTGTTTCAAACCAGTGTTACCCTGTGACAAAAATCTGTCATGTGATTCTTATGTAGAGTTGTTTGATTTTAGGTTAATTGAACTCACCCTTGTCCTTTTGTCAATACAAAATTTTGAAATGTGTCCACTGGGAACCTCTTAAAGTGAATGTGTTTTGGTAACTCACCCTTACCGAGTATAAGAAATATTAAAACTTAAGCCTAGGTAATTACTAATACAGCTTTGTAATCAGTTAAACTGCAATCATCCCAACCATAAAACACTGTTTTATAATTAATAATAAGAGATCCCCAGTGGGCATAACTTCTGCTCTTATTTGGCCATATAATACCACAATACCTCTGTGGAGTATACCTTAACAGAAATGTTAAAATATAAATGGAAAGTGTAAAAAAGGAATAAAGGATGCTGACAGAGTTCAGTATGTAATAAGATCACATGTATCTATTGTCTATTGGACCATGTCTAAAATCTGCCAGGGCTTCTTTTCTGCACCGCAGTGTGACTGTTTTTGTCCAGTAATATGCTTTAATTCTGTCATGTAATATAGTGCTTGTATTACACCAAGATAACAGAAGCAACAATGACTTTGGCAAAAGCTCTAAATGTAGTCTGGATATAATTTTCAGTCGGCAGTGTTTAGGGCTTGTGGAGATAAAACGTGACTCCCAAAGACTTTTTGTGCTTTAATAAAAATAAAAAAAAGACATAAATCATTCACTAGTAATTATTGTTATTGTGCCCCTAGTATTTTTGCACTCAATTAGACACATTTCCCATTAGTCCAAAAAATATACAGTTGTCTGAGCTTTTCTGATGATGTAAACATTGGCCGGGAAAAGAGAGTTGATGTTTCCAATAATGTTCTGATGCATCTGTGGGCGAGTTTGTACTTTTATAACTGTGATGAATTTACACAGGCTAGTATGATACCATGATGCACTATGGGAAGTAGTCTGACCATGGTTCAGTTGAAACCTCACCCTAAATTACGGTTCCATGGAGAAGCATTTAAATGAACAGACGCTGTACATGATGTTGTAATTAAGTGATCCCCAAAGATTTATGTTGAACTTGTTACTACATTTTTCTTTTTACTTTTGAACAATAACTACCATGCGGTTTAATACAATTATTGTATTAAAATGTTATTAATCCTGGCCATATTGTCTTCTGTAAACATGCACTATGTAAGTCAAAGTTTTATCTACCACAAAATATTAATTTGTACACAGTAAATGTAAATTCCAATGTATGGTTGAAATGCGGTGCCCTCCAAAAAGCCCTTTCTGCCAGGGTCCCCGTATTCTTGTACAAATTGCAAATGCAAAATTTTGTATCTGAACTTTTTGGAAAGGTCAAATATTTGTCTTAGGTCAGCGGCAGAGGTAGAGTCTGAGTCACATTTGTAGATGCCCTTTTAATAGTTAAATGTGCTCCTCACGTCATGCCCTTATCATTGTAGACTTAAATTGCTGCTAATGTTGGGGGTTTTTTAAGCTGATGGAAATTAAACTGATTCTGGACATGGTGTTTTGGTTCGATGCTGTTAGTGTTACAGGGCTGTGGCAAAGTATTTACCTCGTGTGCCGGAGTTGGGTCTGTTCCCATTGAGCAGTGTGTTGCGATTGACGGTCCCTTTTATTGTGAGTTGCTTGATGCATGCACAGGTTGTATAAATTATGGTATCTGACATGAGCTGGTGACCCAGACATTTACCAAATGATCATGTTTGCCAAGTGTTTGTGTAGAAGGGGTGGGGGATCTAATGGCTTTCGTTGATTTGCAGAAAAATTGCACCCTTCAGTTTCTTGTAATTTAAGAATAAAAAAATGAATAGTGCCACTTAAGTCATGATCCCATTACTGTCTGAATATAGGTTGTGTTTGTTTCTTATTATAGTTATATTAAAATTTGTGTAACCTTGGTAAACTTTTGAAAATCTTTTTCCTTGTTCCTTCAATTGGTGCCAAGCAGACTAAGTAAAAATGATATGGTTATTACTTTACTCAATGTAGTTTGTAGTTTTTTAGATATATTATGAAATGTGAAGGAAGAGTTCCAAAAAATGTCTTGCCATGTACATGCTGATGGATTAGATGTCTGATATTTCATGTTGAATTTTGCATGATATGTTTCTGTGTCTGTGCAAGGGTTGGGGACAATACACGGTCACCAGAGAATTAACCAAAAAAAAGACAGCCAAAATAAGTTGTGACATTATTATTTTTTTGTTGTTGTTTATTTTTATTTGTTTTTTACTACATGTTTTAGTTTGTGTGTATATAT